GTCGATAGTAGCTTCCTCGAAATTACCTTTATTTGAAACAATTGACCATTTCACATTCATTTATAGTATAAAAGATAGTTAAATATAAAATATGTAAGAATTTGATAATTAACTAAAGGAGAAATAATAGATCGTAACGAAGAATAGTTGTAATTGAGGAACCAAAGGAATACGAGCACACTCGAGCGCACTCGAGCTCGCCCGAAAGCTTAGAACAAGCTTTCATACGTAGCATTAACTTAATATATTAAGGACTCCGACAATATTTTGTAAATATAAATATATATATATATATATATATATATATATATATATATGGGTACTTAAACAAATAAAAATGCCACCAAATATCACTTGCTCTTTGTCTCATAATACTTATTTCTGCTAAGAGGGTGGTAAGTGAAAGTTTTGTGATGCACGTACCGCACCACATTTTTTCCCTTACCTTAGCATTAAGGTAAGTTTTAAAGTAAAATATTTTATTGTTGTTGTTTTTGCCCGACTTAAGCATTTATTATAAGTAATCAAAGCTAAGCAACATCGAGCGTAGTAAGTACTTGGACGAGTAAGTCCAAGACCACGCTTCCCGATATCCTCCCGGATATATGAGTCCCGTCAGCCATTTGGAAGGACCTCACACCGACCGGACTAGGAAAGATGACCTACCTTCATTAAGTCTATTTCACGACGTGATTTTTTAATAAGTCAGTAGCCCCAGACGTTTGGTGTTTCTAGGACTGAAATATTTGACTTCTAGATCTGGAGCCAGTGCCGAAAAGACCGCAGTATTTTTTGCAAATTTTCAACCTAACAAGCTGATAATAACTTTTAGGTATTCCAAAAACGTTCATCTACCAGCTGAGACAGGTCGATTTAGGTTTTAGAGATATTTGAGCCCATCCAAAAGTTGAAAATTTTGGTCCATTTTTTACTTTGTTGTTTATTCTGTGTATTTTATTTGCATTCTACTTTAGTCATCTTCCACACAACCTTTCCAACATGCGGTAATGAGGAAGCAAACTGCAGATATTCGGAACCATAGTCCTCCTAATTTTGATTTTCAAAGCAGAAAAAAATATTCCTTTTTTTTTAATAACACGCTTGTTTTGTATAAAGGTATTGTAATATCTGACAATAATTCTAAATGTCGCTTTCTAACTCCTTTAATATAAATGAGGCCGCAATTCATGTGCATTCCTATCTTCAAATACTTCGTTACAGAGCTTAAGTTAGTCGCATTAAGTTTTTTTTTAGGAAATATTTAACAAAAAATATTTTAAATAATTATATATATATAATGATATGACATGATATAATTATTATCTAAAAATATAGCCCTGTGATATATTAAGCTATAAACAGGGATGAAGGAGGGGGCGTAAGGGCTCGTTACAGTGATTTACCGGACATTGATTAAGGGGCCCTTTGCGGCATTATGAAAACAAACTGCTTCTCTCAGCGATAAATCTTGATACAACCTCTTCAAGATGAGTTGTATCAATACTTGAGCAAGATTTAAACCAAGTTTATTTTAGGTATATTTAGTATAGAATTGTATAATATAATAATAATTCATTATACTATAGAAGGAAACTTCGAGGAGCTTAATAGTAGCCAAAATATATAAGGAAAATCAATTTCAACGCTAAATTATTGCCACGAAATTATAAATTATTTTTCTATATTTTTTTTTTCAATTCACTCATTCTATTATTTTTTTAATAATTTTTTTTTCTCATTCATTTTATTAATACGCACTAGTCAATTACAAATATCGTCAATCAGCAAATGAGCTGCAATAACCATGAGAAAAAAATAATAAACAAAATAAAAATTTAAAAGAGCCATGGTATATAGCAATGAGCTTAAATTCTTTTTTTTTTTAATTTACAATTTTTTATTCACATCTCTCAAAAAATAGTAGTAATAATCAATGAATTCCGTAATATGATTAGGCGAGGAGGTCCCTCATCCAGCTCCTCTTCAGTCTTCTTCGGACATTAACTGCATGTCTGTTGTAGTCATGTATAAGTATGTTTGAATATCTATGTAAGTTGTCATGGGATCGTTTTTAGTGAGTTCGTATGTGTCTGTTAACAGTTGGTATATGAACGTCAGTATGTAAGGTTATGTTGCTAACGTACCATAGTCCTGTAGTTATTGTTCTGAATGTTTTTGCTTGAAAGATTTGAAGTTTGTATAAGTGAGTCTTCTTAGCTGTTCCAAATATCTGTGATGCGTAAGTCCTAATACGTTTTAGTAAGTAATTGTATGTATTCAATTTCTGTTTACATTTCAGTTTTGAGTGTTTCCGAAGGAGTGAATTTAGAAATACTAGTTTTTGATTTAGTATTTTTATTTTTTTCGTGATATGTGGCCTCATGTCATATTTCGGTCAAATGTTAGTTCAAGGTAATGAATGGAGTCGGTCAGTAGAATCTGTATATTATCAAAAAAAACTGGAAGGCATATTTCATGTCGATGAGTAAAAGTTATGTGCTGAGATTTGTCTTGATTTAGTCAAGTTTAGTTCGGATTTTCCAAAGTTTAAACCAGTCATGTAATTTTGTCATATACTGTTGTAGGGTCTGTGCGTATGTTGGATTTTTGTGTCTTTCTGAAATTTATGTGTCCTCTGCATATGTCGCTGTTCAATTGTTAGAACTACAAGATATGTCATGGGTGTATGTGATATAGAGTAGTGCAGCGAGTACAGAACCTTGAGGTACTCCTGCTGAGATAGACCTGATAGAAAATAGTTCTGGCCCGTTGTGGACGGGAAAAAATCTGTCAGAATGGAAGGATTGTAGATGAAGATACTTGATAAAAATTCAGAAAAAAACATAAGTTAATATCTTTAGACCCAGTAATAAATTTAAATAATCGAATATTGACTTAAATAGGACTTAAAGACCGAACACGTTGGATGAGAGTCCCAGAGTCCCGATGGTGGATTCGATACCCATCTGGGTAGTCACGGACCCTGGATTGAATTTAAGGGGCTTGATTATTTTTTTAAATAATTACAAGAAGAATAATGCTTTAAAGAGTTATTTTTTGTATTTTTTTCTTGACGCATGGTTACATTTATCGGCTGAAATACAAGTGTTATAATTTCATAAGAGTACATGTTTTGATTGTTTAAGTACATATTTAGCCGAGTTCAGTCACAGAAATAAAAATAAAAAAGGGAAAATGAAAAAAAAAATATTTGAAAATTTTTGGGAAGAGAGGCTTCAGATCGAAAGCATGCGTGGATTTGCCGTTGCACCTGGATAAATTAATGTTTATTAAGAGGTATCAAGAAATATATCTTAACACCTCCATTCCGGTTAATTCGTAGTGGCAACCTTTATGTGGTTGACAGAAATTTCCAAAAAGGACCACTAGGCTTAGTTGTCGGACTAATACCCGTACCGGCACCAGAACTAGCACCTAAATAGGGCTAGTTATTTAATTAATAAATTAATTAATTCCAGAGTGCCTGTCCTGAACATACGGGCTCAAATACGTGCGTTGGATCGTGAGATTATTTGATCACAAGCTAGATAAAAAAGGACCTTTTTCTCGATATTATGATCAAATTATCTTACGATCCGAGTAGATGTGTATTTACGAGTTTTTAGTACTTAATTAAATAGACGTTGTTTGCCACCTCTAGAATGAAATGCCCCAACTCCAAGAGTTCACGTAAATAAAATAGTTGTAGGTTACGATGAGATGAAACTATTTATGAAGTTTCAGACGGATGTTAATAATTCGATAGAAAGGGATCTGTACCACGGACTATATATGGTCCATTTTCCCTGCATTAGCTAGAGAACATAAGACATTAAATCAAGCATAAAAAAAAAAAAAAAAAAAAAAAAAAAAAAAAAAAAAAAAAAAAAAAAAAAAAAAAAAAAAAAAAAAATTAGATATTAATTTAAGTGAAAGTTGGCTAATAGGTGCATTGCACCAATTTTTTTCATCTAAAATATTATTATAATATAACAAGTCATCATAATTATCGAGTTACATGCCATGTCAAGGCCAACGTTAGGCTTTTCTTTACAATATTACACAAACAGAAGGACCTACAAGTCATAAAGAAGTCGATGGCCATTGACAAAGGGAAAGCCGACAATGCCATTTCCAGGAAAATCAAAAACTGCGTCTGGGAAATGAAGGAGTCGCCGGACAGAGACATCGTCCTCGCATGGGCACCCTCGCTTTGTGGCATATCTGGGAACGAAGCTGCAGACAGAGCTGCGAACCTGGTAAGAAGAAATACTAATGGAACCACAATGATTAATTTAACAACAACTGCTGACTGAAGATCGGAATACAAAAAAATGCTAAACGAAAAATGGCAATTCAAGTGGAACCGATCTACGAATAAATTGCAAGAAATTAAAAAAGATACCAAACTGTGGACGAGCTCTTTCAGAAAGAAAAGAAAAGAAGAAACAATTTTAACTCGGCTTAGAATTGGACATGCAGCCTTTACCCATGGCTACCTAATTAAAGGCCTGGAACCACCATTTTGTAAAACATGCAACACATCACTTACACTGAAACATATTGTAACAACTTGCAGACTATATTCTGACACCAGAACAAAACATAATATACCTTCCAACATATCTGAAGCACTTTCAGATGACGAAGAAAAGATACAAAAAGTATTTGAATTTATAAAAGACATTAAATTTGTCTATAATAACAGCAATAAATAAATAAAGATGAAGGCGTGATGGCTACCCACAATGTCGGAATAAACTAATATTTTTCCATAATGATGCATCTTAACCGTGTTATGAAAAATGACTCCTATTTAACTTGACATGGATTAAGAATTAAGCAGGTTATTGCGATAAAATTCTTAGAAATAATTATTCGTCGATCTTTATATTTTTTTCTCCATCACAGTTCGACAAGCATTATTTCCTACTTAACCTAGGTCATTTTCAAGTAAAAGTCCATCTTGACGCAGGAGATATAAAAGCGGACATCGCTGGATGGAATTAGCCGCTCTGATTGCAGGACTCCAGGGCTGGAGAGGTGGAGGGGATTGCTGGAAACCTCAGTCAGTGTTCGGCCAGCAATGTCGGAAGATGCTCCTGTTGAGATGGATCCTTCTCGTCTTCGTCCTTGTCGTGTCTGTCAGCTCTCAGGGTCCGCGCCAATGGGCTACTCCGAGGGACATATCCATGTTCGGGGCGGTCTTCCAGTGGTTCGAAGCAGCCGTCGAGATGATCTTCGGCTATTTCTACAATCCAGGATGTGAGTACTAGCAGAGTATTCTTAATGAAATGTGATAAAAATAATAATTTTAACGACAGAAAATTTCCTCATATAAGGAGACAAATTTTTGTAAAAGCATTATTATTTTATTGAATATTTAATAGTTGACCGTTGCATTATAAAGGAAGGAGATGGTCCGGGGTGGCGGTCATAATAAGAAAAGTGGCGGTTGCCTATGATCTCAGATGTACTGTAGTAAATCAATAAAAAAATATACTTTTTATTAATTTTGCTACAATACATCTGAGATCATAGAAAAAAAATTCAAGATTTTTAATAAATTATGTGAGTTATTTTTATTAAAAACACAAATACTTTGGGGTGACCGAATATCAAATATCATATTTTTTTTAAAGCTGTTTCCATTTATTCCATAACAAACCTCAGCTAAATTAATATAAAAATTAAGCTTATTAAACAAGAATTTTTTTTTCTAAAAGTAGTAACTGTAGTCAAGTTGGAAAAATATAATAAACAATCGTGAATAATCAATGATTTTATAAAAAAAAAAATAATAATAATTTAACCACATAAAAATTGTATTTAAAGGATTTTAACAAAAATCTATTTATATTTAGTGTATATTCTACCTAGTTTTTTAATAAATAATTGTTAATTATCTAAGTCAAATATGTTTTTAGTTATAGTTTGCTATTCAACAAAAAACGTGACTCTAGTGAAAACACAAAACTTAAAATTCCAACTGCGGAAAATCGGACTATTCTTTATAAAAACTTGTTACGGCCCGTAAGAGATTGAGGAGCTCCCCCCCCCCCTTTGTTATAAATATATAAATAAATAAGTAAATAAAAACTTTATTGTATGTCTTGAGGTCTGCTATTACCCCTTTAAATAATTCCTTTTATTTAAGGAACACATATGTATATATATTCTAATAAATTTAAACAATCGCTTCATTCTCCGTAATGCCAACGTTTTAATTACAATTACTGAGTGCATTTCACGCAATTCAGCGCTGTGTAGCCGTCGAAATTCGGTCGCTCCATCATTTTGGTAAGAATATTCTAAACAACTTTTCATTTCCAAAATCTTAAGTTTTGTTTTTTAAGAGTAAAAAATATAATAAAACGATAAATAATAAATTTCAACCGATTATATTTTCTTGATTATTTACAAAAAGCTGCTTTTTAATGAATGATATTCTTATGACTTCTATTTTTTAAATCTGCGTTTATGTCAGTATGCGTTGTGATAATTCTGATCCGTATTGATATAGTTTTTGAGTACTTTATGGTTTGTTTGGATCATAATACACCGAAACTTATTTTATCTGAAACCATTAAAGTTTTTTTATACTACACTCTCCTAATAGTTTAATTCGACTACTATTGTTAGCAACTGCATGAAATAAATAAATACATGAATAATTTAAATCCAAAACTCCCATTTTAAGTTAGCAGTGAATTTAGCACTCATTTAAATTGTCAGATGTAAGTAATTAAATACCATAGTTTCGTAAAATCCAATGTCCATAAAGTTTCCTTCGTCATAATCATGTTAAGGTACAAAATAAAGCGTAGAGTTAGATCAAGTAATCACTTTAGGTTTAACCCATTATCTTTTGTGAAAAATAAAGTCTATAAAAAGCATGAACTTAACATTCACACCTTGTGTGTTCAGCCTTTTCTGAATCTTCAATGTACATACGGCAGGTGAAATCTACTAATTTTATTTATTAAACCTAAGTGAAAAATAATTTTCTTTATTTTTTTTTTATATCGTTATCCTAGGCCGTCACTGGTCACTGAGCAGGCGTACTATCAATATTTGGAAAACTATCGAGCCCATAATCGATATAAAAACTATCGTTATCCAACCGTGAAGGGGATATCCAGGTCAGGCAGGAATCTAGGAATTACCTGAGAAAATGGACGTAGGAAATGCAGTTACTGCAAGTAGTCACAAATATCCCATATCTAGTTCATGTTCCAATATCGGAAAAACGGTACTATTTTTATATTTTCTCCAAGGATAATCGGAGGTTTTAGTTTTTTCTTGAAAATTTAATCCTAAATATAAAAGTTCTTATGAACATTAAAGGAAATTTGCTGAGCGAACATTTTTCTGAACGAAAACATGAAAACAATATGTGTTTTTTTTACAATTATTGATCTATAAAAATAAAAAAAGAAATTCATAATTCAAAAATAAAATTATATTGAAACATAAACCAACCTTAATAGTTAATGTGAGGAATTTGTTTTTCATTTTTTTTAAATTTAAATTTGAGATATTTTTATGTTTTAAATTTTTTATAATGTATTAGAAAATATTCTCAATCTCAAATTTAATCATCAATCTCCTAATTAAATGTATTCAACCGTATTGATTGTTAAATGTATTTAACAATCAAACGTTCACGTAACCAAAGTACATATTTAAATCTCTATAAGCCTATTATTTTATTTAATAATAATAAATTTCATTTATTCTGGGACAAGCCTCATTAAAATAATATACAAATACAGAAATATGGGCTTTGGAACCTCAGAGATATATAAGAAAAATCACAAAATTAGCAAATAGATGTAATGAAAAACAATATACAATTAATTAAGAAAAAATAAAGAAACGTAAAATAAAAATAAGTAAAATATAATTTATACACATATTTACTGAAACATCTATTTACAAATTTAAGGGGAATGAATGGATAGAAAGTAATTGGACATGTTGGATTTAAAGGTTGGGAGAGAATTGGACTGACGGTCGTAGGAAGAAATGGAATTTCATACGGATGAGGATCGATTAATGAATGCTCTGTCGAAGGAAGCGGTTTGGTGGGCCCTTGTGTATAAATATGGAGTCCATATTTAAATAGAGTTTTTTCTTAAGTTATTATATTTATATATATTATATTATATTAAATTTCTTGAAGGTATTATATTTTGTAGATATTTGTTTATTTTAGGAAAATAATTCTCTGAATTTAGAATAATTCAAGGTATAAAGGATATTTTCTGTAGAAAAATCGCAATGGTAATCACTACACTATCCTGTACAGAACAAAAGTCGATAAATTTTAAGGATAAGTAGGGGTTTAATATTTATATAACGCGAAGGAAGTAATTTAAAAAATGGTTAAAATAATCAAGCATAATAAATAATATATATTAAAGTCACAATCTTCAATAAATAGGTTGGACGGTAAATTTAATAAAAACAGAAACGTCATTTGAAGCAAATGAATGTTGCCTTTTTTCTAAAAAAGAATATTTATTCCTGTATCAAATCTGAATATTCATAGCGTAGATGGAATCGTATAATACATTGTGTCATAACTGGGGAGGAGTGAGGGTCCATTCGAAATTAGCTTTGAGTTTTTACCACGTTTAAAATACAATTCAACATTATGTTAGATCGTTTTATCTTAAAAATACAATAGGGAAATATAAATAATTGAATAAATATAGATTTTATGTATTCGTTATTTAATAATATAACAAGCTATTACCTGTTCCTCACAATTAGAAATAGATAGTCAGGAGAGGTACTAAATCCCGATATAAAAAGATTTTATAATATAATAAAAAATGTGTTTCACCTTTGATATTATGTGGCACTTCCGGTTAGCCGATTTTAAGGAAAAAGTTTCCGTCACACCTAAGGCATATACCTATCTCAAATACGTAATATCAGTTTCGTACGACTATTCGTTTTTGAGCTAGAGTGCTAACATACACACACATACAGACACACGACACACACAACATTTTTTGAGACTTGGTTATTTGGACTAAGAGTAACCCAAAACGTGTATTTCTTTTGAAAACTCCGATCCAAAAATTTTCACGATCCCAATACTCATCCTTACTATATATTACATATACACATAAGTGAAAGTAAAAACTATAAAATATCTTTATTATATATTATTTAGGAGGTTCCACAAAACAATATGTTTCCTTAATCTATACATTTTTTAAGACCTCCTTCCATATTTACTTATCCAGAGTCCATTCCTCTCCCAAACCATGTTCCATCATGGAACCTTTTAATAGCTCATACCATTTCTTTCTGGACCTGTATCTTTGAAGGACCGACTTTGTCTTCTTCTCCCAATAATATTTCTGAAGGTAACTTCCCTTGGCAATCTTTCTTCAGACATGCTATTTAAATGATCATACCACCTGAAGGACTTTCTTTGAGCTCTTCGAGAATTATCTTCTTGCCCCCATCTCAACAGGATATTTTTTATCTATTCTTGGATATTTTTACCAATCGACGCCAGTGATCCATTTCTATTTAAAAAATATCTTCTTAAGTTCACCCTCTATAGTCCAGATTTCTGCCCCACATGCCTCGTATCGCATTATCTTTTGGTTTTAGGAATGATATTCCTACTCCACAATACGTTTTTTTTTTTAATTTGCTTTCGCAATTCTTTTTAACAACATTTATTATTAGTAATAAGATTGTTTGTGGGGATCTCGTTACGTGCTTCATACTTACACAGTTAACAAGACCAGAATGAAAATCTTTCCCAGACCGGGATCCTTTAAAATTGTTTTTGTGCAAAACTACACGCAATAGAAAGTTGTAGTTGTTATTTTGATGAATAGAAAAAAGAATTTAGTTGGTATGATGTGTTCCCACTATCCTTTAATGATCTTAGAAGTAGTTAACGGCAAACACTAGTTCATTAGAACTTCGCTTCCATTGGCAACATCAACAAATACTCAAGCACGTTAATATAACAACTAAGTAATATAATAATTATAATACTAATTGTAAGTAATATAATCATTTTGAAAACTTGTTATTGAAGAGATGGATGGTGGGGATTATCAGTCAAAATAAAAAATAGTAAAAATAAATAATAATATTTATTTTTATATTTGCCGACGTTTCAGCCAAACGTTCAGGCCTTCAACAGATCTGGTCAATCGAACTTATTGTTAACCTTACAATACAAAACTTATTGTTAGTTCCGTAAGAGTATTGTGATTTCGTCATTA